CTACTTCTACTTCTACTTCTACTTCTACTTCTACTACTACTACTACTACTACTACTACTACTACTACCACTACTATTTCTACTACTACTACTACTACTACTACTACTACTACTACTACTACTTCTACGTCTACTTCTACTTCTACTTGTACTTCTACTGCTACTACTACAACTACTACTACTACTACTACTACTACCACTACTACTACTACTACTACTACTACTACTACTACTACTACTACTACTACTTACTACTACTACTTCTTCTTCTACTACTAGTACTACGGTGATTAGTTGTGTCAGACTGCTCTCTGTTTACCTCTTCCTCTCCGGCTCAATCCAGGGTACAGAGGGGTTGCCTGAGCAAGCAATGATTCCATGCCCACTGGATTGGAAAGTGCGCTCACCGGCTACATGCGTTTAAATGCATATTATGATGATGTTCTACTGCCGGTAGTCGGTAGCCAATGAAACCACTATATCGGCAACTGCACTGGATAACTTCATAGTAACTTACAGTGATCGTCATAATCATCATCGCCATCAGTCGCAGTGATGATTGTAATGTGCGTAAGAGGCGTCGGTTCAGGTTCCCTTGAAAAGTCCAAGCGGTGCAGGCAGGACTGTTTTGCAGTCTGGGCACTCCTGCTTTTGGGCAACAATACTCGCGAAATTACTACTACAGTACAGACCACCTAGATGTCCAGAAAAGCAGAAGCTGGCTTCAATTGTAGACCAAGCCACCAGCGCACCCTTGCGGGTAAAATACGAGCCTCGAGTGAGCGGCTGAACGTGGGTTCGGGCAGGCGAGAAGAAAGATGGGACCAGAGTTACATGGCGGCTTGTGCGGAACCAAGGACTTCAGGGCTTCTGAATTGATAGCCAAGCTGCTGCATGCCGCAGATGCCCGCTGCCTGGAAGGCCGTGCTTCGCACTGCCTGGTCAGCCGAGACTAGTCTTCCATGAATCGAACTGCAGCAAGGACACCACGCTGCACTGCACCCTGGTCTAGTCCTGTCATGTCCTGTCTCAACTGTTGTCGCAGGATCGCCTGCTCCTTGGAGAAATTCTGATACAGCGCCGGGCCATTCTCAAGACGCCACTGCACGCGCCGCACCGCGCGTGAGCGCATGACGTCCACCTCGTACGGTAAAGCTTCCCAGGAGACGCAGTCTCCAGACGAAGGCCCGCCTTCTTGTGCAGCTGGTCCAAGAAAGCCTTGGTCCATTTCTACTGGAAGACCACGCAATCCCCCTTCAGCCTTCACACCCTCAAGCGGCCATGAATGTGACTGTCGGTCGCGACATGAGCCAGTCACGACAGGACTGGACAGCTGTAAAGCAAAAGCGGCGTGCCCACCGGAGCCGGAACCGAACCACCACAGTGAACGCTTAATTTCTGAAGAAGCAGGTGGCCTTTCCCTGCGACTGCATCAGTTCCAGCAGTCGGTGGTTCACGTACCGCTGCACCTCGTTGTGAAAAATACTTGCCGCAGACATGCTGCGAAAAATGCCGCACTCTCCTGGTGGCCCTTTATGCATTCTTTGCTTTGCCTTTGTCCATAAATATTGAACCAAGACAAAGCAACGCTGCGATGACGAGCCCCGCTTCAAGGCACTCATGTCTATGGCGGGAATCCCACCTGTTGGGCTTCCATCAATTAGTGACACGACGACCTTCATCCATGACGACTTCGTTTTGGGAAGCCAAAGGTGAAGGGGGAACATGTCAACACTAACCGAGGCTTTGCCCACTACTTGGTCCCAACAGGCAGAACCACACTGCTGCTGACAACAATTCCCGCCCAAGAGCCGCGAGCACTCCGTCCACAGGCCCGCGCGAGTCCTTGAGCAGTCGTGCAAGTGCCCCTGCATCTATTCTGACGGCAGCTGCATTCTTTCACACGCCTGGGATCCTACACGACAGGCCTACAGCCCTCGAGTCTCAAGCATCAAGCTTTTCATCGAAGGTGCAGCCGGCTCGTCTGCCGGCGCAGCCATTGGATCGGGGGCACTGCCTTACGTGTGAGAACCAGGGCTGGGAACCAAGTCTTGGGGACATCTTGCGCAGTCTACCAATGTCCAACTTCTGACTCTTAAAAAGCCACTTTCAAAAGCCAAGCGACTGGAACCCGTAGTGCTCTCCTGACTGCAACGCATCAGTACGCATCCGAAAATACCCCCGATGTGGAATGTATCACTCGAGGGCACCGTGAAGGAAGCTGATACAACTTCCCAGGTCTGCAGCCTGATTTGTGAATATCTGCTGGCCGGAGCTTCCACCAAGGACTCATGGATCTCGATTCCGAGCTTCAGCGAGCCATCCATTGACTTCTGCTCAATAATGGAGCCCATGCGCCTGAGGGACAGCGTTGTTTTCTAGGTTGCTCTGGAGCAGCCTCTGCCCTAGCACTAAAGTCGAGGCACTTCATACCGCAAGGCGATTTCCCATCGAAGCTGTGCCGCAGGACGACGGACTCCGTTCCTGGCTCGCATATCGTGAACACAGCGAACAGAGAATTTGCGTCAGTTTACCTGGACTCTGTATCACTCTAGCGGACTCTAACGACCGACTACCACTGTAGGCGACCGCGGCTTGCCGTGGCGATGGCCACATAACAATGACCGATGGTACCAGACGAAACTCCCGCCATGTGCACTGTTATGGGAGGTGGGTTCGCTGAAACGGTCGTGGGTAGCTTCAGCACTTGGCCATCTCAGACAGTAACACCGCTTCAGAGCCGCAGACCTGAGGCGCAAGCCTAAAAAGAGGCGGAAGACCAGCTGCAGGCCAGCACAGGCCCACAGGTACAAAGAGCAGACGTTTCCAGAGGCGTCCTCCTGTGCACTTCTTCGACTCCGGCCCTTCTCAAAGTGGCATTGCAGGGATTCGACGCACTCAGGGTGGCCTCGTCCCCGGGCCCCGAGCGGCGCGTGTGCACACGGAGCTCCAGCTGCATGCCGCGAGTCCCAGCCGCCTGCAGGCACAGACACATAAGCTTAAGCTACAGGCAACGTGCGTGGCCGTGGCCTGTAGAGTGAATGCGGAGGCTCCATTACACGACAACGACAGAACCACGAAGATGCCAAAAAAGCCAAGCAAACATAAATGGACAGTGGCATGAAAGCTTCGCACAAGTGCGCCTCGAAGGGCGGCGAAAAGAAGCTGGCCTGCTGATGATGCGGAAGACAGTTCTCGCAGATGCATGCACCCCTTTCGGCATACGCACTCGAAAAGCCCTAACCTAATCGCGGAGCTCCCTGCGAAGGCTGTTGGTACGACTGCGTTCAAGGTCTCGTATTCAGCTACTCAGCCGCAGCTAAGGCTTCATTTGGCTTCCATCTGCCGGCAATTTCGCATCTTCACCCAGGCCGGCCTGCGCGTCTCCCACCAGAGACGGGTCGTCCACAGGCTCACGATCCTGCGTTGGGCGACATGATGCAACATGTGTGACGTGCAGCTCGAGCGAATCTCCATATGTGACTTGCATGCACAGAGTCTGCAGCACACTGCGCGGAGCAAGGAATCCTGAACCTTCTCCAGCTGTTTTAGCGTATCTTCTGGGAGCCGCCACTCCACCTCACGGTTTCACGAGTCGGCTTGCGATGTCGATGACCTTCCCGTTTACCGACGGTCAAAGCCTGTTGCCTACAAGCCGCAGAGTTCGAGCAGTTACTTCACTCTCTCACTCTCTCCTCGCCTGAAACTATAAACAAGCCCTGATGCACCTGTCTGGTCGGCAGTCCGGACACACCAGCACAGAAAGCATTGAGCCGCGCAGATTCACCTTCAACGTTGCTCCGCACATTCCCAGGTTTTCATACAGGACTTTGTGGAGCACAGCTCTCAGCCCCACGAAAGGAATGAGCTAAGTATGGCTGAGATAAGTGCCTTGCAGCAGCTCGACATTCGCCCGGTTCTCTGCTAGAACTGCCGCGCTCCGGTCTTCGGCCTGACCGAGGAATTACATGTCCGACTTTAGTCTTGTACCTTTTGGGAAATGCTGTGTCGCAGGCAAGTTATAAACGTCTGTGCGATTTCTTGCTTGTCTGATTGCAGGCGCAGTGGGGTGACGCTTCTTATGTCGAGACTTTTGCTGCTCGGCGTCAAGAAAGAATGTGGGCGTCGCTACACCAAGGGCTCGTCTCAGCGGTGCAGATCTGGAGGCTGTGGCTAGCTAATGACAGGTGCTGCTTGGTCCGGACCTCGCGGCGGAATTGCTGCAGCTGCTGGTGGCTCTCCTCGGCGTCTTGCCTGAGCTCCTCGACGAAGCTGCGTCCAAGACAGATGATCAGCTCGAACGGCAAACTGCAAAAGGCGATAGAAATTCATCACAACAGAGGCAGATCATGACAGATCGATACTTGGCGGAGTTCACAAACTGCTAAACCGCAAACTGTTCAGCGGGATTTCGCTAAATGCAAGGAGCAGTGCGTCAGTTCCCCGAGCACCCAGTCCTGGCTTTTGTCCTGTGCAAGCCACAAGATAGCAGTTTCATTTCGGGCTACGTCCGAAGCAGAAGCCGTCCCACCTTCATTTCACCGTCTAGCTTCTTCAGCTCTGCATGCATCACCTCCTGGCATGCATTCTGACGTCACCGTCTGCAGATATGTCTATTTCTGCCGAAGTCAGTGCCAATGTAGTGGTGGCATTGTGGAATCTAGCGGCGCTCAGGACCTGCAGATACTATCTTACACACCTGCCGCAGCAGAAGCAGCCTCCTCGTGCTGACGGGCCTGCTTTTCGAGCGACACCTCAGACTGAGCCGGCCGCCGTGCGTGCCCCTCTTCCCTCAGCATCCGGCTCGAACCCTGGAGTGCTCAAACCCGTCCGACACACGCGTCCGACGCCCTGACGCCCTACATCCTCTTTGAACGGGCACCTGCTCTTCGGTCAGCTGCTTCGAGGCAGCTTCAGCCTGCTTGGCCGCTTCTGCGGTCATAGGCAACAGGGAAGTACCAAGTACAGGTCGCATGCTGGCCTGCTGGAGCAATCCAAGGGTGAGGTCTGCATGAGTTTGTTCAATCCCCGCACTACAGGAACCTGGGCAATCTTCTTCTCCAATGACTGTTCCAGGGCCTGTCAGTGCGGCAGTTCAGCACAAGGCCAGCACACTGACGTTGCAATACTCTGGTGGTCATCGCTCACGACGACAACTTGTGCCAGATCTTGCCCAACACGGCGCTGCTACAAATTGCCTAACGCAGCCGAACTGGCCGCCGTAACTGGCCTAACTGAACACAGCTGCCATGTATCTGCGAGGCTGACCATGCTACAGTTACAGCGTGATAAGCACGGCAGTGATGGCCTGCTGCTTCTGCCTGCTCTCCTCGACCATGGTGTTGCACTTCTCCTGTTGAATGGTTGGCGAGATTCCAAGGAGAAACCGCTTTCAGAAGGTCGCCGGTACTCAGATTCTCATTTCAGCCTGGCATCACAGCCGATACTTTACCAAGGCTATCAGAGCTCGTAGCTGGCAAGCGTCCATGTCTTTGCGAGCGACATGTGCCGACTGCATCTTCACACGAGACATGGCTGAATTTGAGCATGCCTCTTACAGAATATCGCACAGCACTTTGAACAAGGCATAAACGAAACTCGAGTGGTGCCTCAAGGGCCTGCCGCGTCTCCTCGGTACTCGAGGTCTGCGGGGTGTCTGCGGCTTGCCACTTGCAGATTGCTCTTGAGCATGACGCATACGTCCAGGCCCTGCTTCCATATTCTGATCATTCACGGTACTACGCACTGCCATCGAGGCACTTTCATGTTCTGCTCCAGCGCTGCAAAACTCTGCCTTGGTACCACAAGAGGCTGCCGTCTCTTCACAGCCTTGCCGCCTCTCCCTGCCTGCACCTTCAACCCGAAGCCTGGGCATTTGCCACCCCAAGGCAACACGACTCATTGCATCCCGGGCTCTGCATGGATGCCCTCGGCCAAGCATGCTTACGAAATCTCGTGCCAGACGCTCTCAGGGTCAAAGCTGCTGGGACCCGCTGTGCAGCAGAGGCTCTGAAGTTCCTGAAGTCCTGGCCAGGCCACTAGGCATCACAGCTGCAAGGCGCTTGCACAGGGACTCTTCCGAATAAGCATCTCAGCCGGCCTTTACTCATCTCCCCACGCACTGCGGACGTGGCCCCATCCAAATCTTTCTTCGCTTTCCTGGCTCCCAGAGACAAAGAGCCACTGTGCAGATCGATATCTTAGACTGCGGCGATCATGATGCTTTGCATGCCGTAAGCTTCCCTGACAGCATGCAACTTGGCCAAGGTTCGTGGACACCTGCTCTGCCTTGGATCCGGGTATGGGGATGCGAGGACAGGAGCAGGTGGGGATGGCTTGAATTGCAGCTTTCATTCCTGTGCATTCCCACATTCAAGACGCAGAAAAAAAGATGTGCACAGAGCCTGCATACGCATGTTCCCGAAACATTGCTACATTGCCTGGGCTCGAAAGCAAACAATCCCCTCCAGTTTTCCTGAAAGCAGACTAAACTGGACAGATGCTCCCCCAAATCTGCTCACCTACACAAATCTCGGAGACAGTCTCGCGAATGATTGTGCCGCTACCAGCCGGGAGAGGTGCCCTAAGCTAGAGTCAAGCCCGGCTGCGTCCTTGCGGGCCGCCTCCAAAGCATGTTTCTCCAGGTCCTGTGACTTGCAAGTAACCAACCAACTGTTCGAATATACTTCCCGCTGAGTCCTGCCGAGCTTTCTTCAGCTCCTTGGCGAGCAAAACATGCGCAAAGCACACGAAAGCACAAGAATTTCCCAAGCGCCTCCAGGTGCTCCTGCCAGGCTGGAGACTAACAGTGCCAAATGCTACAAGAATCCGTGGGCAAGCTCCTGCTGCGCCTTGCTCTGCATCTCATGCAATACCTGCATGTCCCGGCAAGCAACATTTGTCATGTTGAAAGGAGAGTGAATGCAGGGCCTGGTCTCGCTCTCGATAGAAGCTACCGGATTGTTAAGCACGTATCAGTCGCACTCGCGCAAAGCAAAAGTGTGCTGTCTTCGTCTCTCTTGGCGATTGCTACCGGCGCCCACCTTGTAGTTTTCGTTGGCCAGATCATGAGCGCCTCAGATCCACAAGCACAATCAACCAAGACCACTACGGCAAGCAGGACCTACACTTACACGACCGCCACCATCACCGCCACCGATCACAGCATCAACAGCAGCAACATCACCACCGCAACAGCCACAACTGCAACCACAGCAACCGGCACCGCAACCACCACCGCCACCACCACCCACGACCGCAACCACGACAAAAAGGCTCCATCATTACCACAGCAACCACAGCGACCACTGCAACTACAGCAACCGCAACAACGATCACCTCCACAAGCAACCAAACAAACAGGCTAGAAAGCACAGAAAAAAAAAAAAAACATGACAAACAAAACATCATCTCCGGCACAAGAGTCTGGTAGGCCGGTGCCAATGAGTCTCAGGGCTCCGCTGTTGACGCGCTCTTCCAGAAAATCTGCCTTCGTCTTCAAGTCTGCGAACTTGGACACCTTGGTACTGTGGACAACAAAACTCCTGCAAGACTGCATATGGCAAGCCACCCGCCTCGCCATTGAGCTCTTGTCGGAGATCCTTCGTGCGAAGGCGAAGCATGGCAGGACAAGAGAACGATCCGAGTCATTCAGGCGCGCAATCCCTATGCACGTGAAGCCCGGGCAAACCAGTGGCACATGTTCTGTGCAGCGCCAGACAATACAATCACCTTCAGAATGCTACCAGTAGGAGGCGCTCCGTTGTCTCCGACTGGAGCTTATTCATGCTTTCTTCCTGGTCCTGGCAAGCCACGTCTCTGCCAGACTCTGGTGGGGCGTAAAAAGAAGTGCACGGGCCTGTATCTTTTGTTGATGCTGGTTCAGCGTGTAGCTGCTGTCCTGCAGTTCAGCCGTTGCCACAGAAGTTGCCGTGGAAGCCCTGATCCCTGCATCCACGCCAGCCCACAGCTAGGCTCCAAGTCCTTTTCCAACATGGAGGTCAGCTGCTCAAGCTTGGTTATCTGGCCCTGGCTGGAAAGAGTCATGCTGGTCACAAGACAACGTCAATGGAAAATCCGACTGTTCATAGGCCAAGTAAGTAATGTCCACGGCCTACGAATGCGATGTCCCACATGCCCGATGCCTTTACGAACTCGTCCCGCTTCTTTGCATTAGAGGCCAACTGCTGCACTTCGGCCTGCGGACAATGTAGCTTATTTGAGCCACACAACTCTGGTAAGACGTTGCCTTCAGGTCGCTGAGGGCATCTGCAGTGGCATACTCGACAGCCTGAAGCATGCATTCACGATCACCGCAGGCCTCGATTTTTCTCCTGTAGTGCCCAATCGCATTCTCAAGCGGCACAGCTCTCCATCCGTTGCATCATAGCGGCGGTACTGATTCACACAAATCTGCTAGAGGCCTTCGGCATGGAAGGGATCTGTCAGCCAAACGCGATCCGCCGTCGTGTTGACAAGGGGATTCGCCTTGGCAGATCACCAGTTGCAAGGTCTGTCTAAAGTCCTGCACGGATTTGATGCTGGACTACCACCCCAACGTCTCGGTGCTGAGCGTTCCGGATCCAGTTTCGCGGTGCACCTCAAGCCTCAAGCCGACTTTGGCCCGGGCTGCATGGAGCGGAGCCAGCGGCTGCGGATGGCTGCGGATTTCTCAGACACGCTTCCGCTCCCATGGGGGGTCTGCAACGAGACTCTGCCTGTCAGGCTGACATGCAGATCAAACGTAATTCATGCCTTTTCGCTACCTCTTCTGTCTGTGCGGCACGCGCAACCTGAGGTAGAAGCACAAACCATGATCGCACTGATCTTGGCGACAAGATCAGAAGCGTGGTGCTTCTGCAAGACCAGCAACTTCGGAAGCTGCGCGTGGACTGAACACAGTGGCCACCGTGACGGCTAACCTTCTGGCTTGGCCGCGTCCATCTCCATGATCCTCGGTGTTATTTACACAAAAAAACAACGCATCAACAAGCCCATGTCAAATTCAAACTTGAGGGGCGGGGCCAGGGGAACGAAAGCTGGCCCGGGTTGGAGGATTGCAAGCGAAACAGAGCTGACGAGGCGGGCTGCAAGCAAACAGAGCTGACGAAAGCACTGTCACATCCACACATTCATTCGCATCCATCAGCAACTGAGTGAGCGGGGGCCTTTTGCGAACATCCACACATCCATTCGCATCCATCAGCAACGGAGGGAGGGGGGGGGGCCTTTTGCGATATATCAATCGATTCTGGGGTCTGGCCGGCATCCAGGTCCCACTGCTTAATTAATTACGCCGCAGATAGAAACCAAAGGCTCGCTGAGCTAGCTTTCGTGACATCCATCCGGAAAATACCTGGAAACACCGCCGAATGTGCGACGAGCATCTGCTGAAAGTCGTCGAACGTCAGTAAGCCGTCCTACGCATAATTGCAGATGGGGTCCACTCCTAGCTTGGCACTCACTTCCACTCTCGAAACTGCTCCTGGTCGCGGTCGGCCTCGTGGAACAGTGCCTCAGCTTCGTCTTCCTTCGTCCGCCATTCAAGTGGGACTGGGATTGAGCGTGACCGTCAGCACTCTTGCTGGTCCTCGATGTCTCCACTGAAATGTCGTAGAGCTCGAACGAAAGTGGCTTTGCCTGTGGCTGCATCCGAAGCACACAGAGCGACAAGGCCTACGTCAAGTCAAAACGCACTTCTTTGCTGCCGAGATGCTAATCGAGGCAGCATGGGCACCATTCGACTCCTTGGGAAGCGCCTGGACTGAGGTAACTTAGGTAACCCCTGCTCCGCTCATGACCTCAAGCTGGCCTACAATCAAGATCAGGGTGGTGTTGTACATTTCGAAGGCTCAGTGCAACTAGAACTCATCACCACGCAGTGCACCTCCCAAATGTGCTGCAGCTCCGCCTCCCTGAACCCTGCTCGTCCTCAGGCTTTGAACTGGCGGGGCTCACGGGTTCAGGGCCTTTCACGTGCCTGTTGCGGGGTCCTCCCGACGAGCTCAACTACGTGAACGTCGCGGCTTCCAACATTCTGCCACCATACATACGAGTGCAAACACAACTCCAGGCCGAGGTTCTTTCTGGTGGACGCTGGCGGATGTTCAGGGCTGCTTGATTCTAGTAACTGGGCCTCCGCCCCTGCCCACGTCCCGAGTACTGCACCTGCCTGGAGATCTTTGGTCTCTTTCACGTACCCTCGAGGTTCGGGCAAAGAACAGCTGCAAACTTCCGCTCAGCCGAGCATCGATCTACGTAGCCAAAGTAGTTGGCCTTCTCGTTTTTTGGCACTGTGCTCCAGTCCTTAGCCATGGCTCAAAGCCTCAGAGCTCCCGGAACTTCCTGGAACTCTGCATCAGGCTTGTTACATCCCCTATTCAGAAACCTCGAGCGACGAGAATGAATGGTGCCTAGCTGAGGCTCGAAGGGCGGCATCGGTACAGGGGTCGGCCTGGGCGGCACCTCTCACGAGTGAAGGCCGACTCTTGACTCTGCGCAACGCCGTTCCACAGGCGAAAACTGGGGGATGACCAAATGGGGCAACCATAGAACTATAGTCTGTCAAGGGGGTGACTTCCAAAGCATGCTATCACTGGCAGTCGCATGCAGTCGCTGAACATGCTGTCGCTCCGTCGCTCTCCGCTCCTCCCGTCGCCAAGCCCGGAGGCGGCGTTGCAGCGCCGGGTCCTCGCTTGTTGCCGCAGCCTCCTCCAAGTAGTGCCTGGGCGGACAGGCCGGAAGCCCCTGGTTCTCCCAGTACCAATGATGTCAAGCTGCACAGCCATGTCCATCCAATGGCTTCGAACCTTGCCTCCGAGCTCTGGATCCTGCTTGCATGCGCTCGCAAGAGCGCCTCTGCCTTCAGACTGAACCAAGTTAGGCCTTGCCTCCGCCTCTCGCAGATACAAGGCCCTGCAGGCCTGGCAGGGCTGCGGCTGCAGATCTGCACTTCCACTATCAAGCATTGCTACACTATCTTGGGCGGCGATGGGGCAGAATGAGCGGCAAAGGAACCTCCAGCAGTGTTTACAATCGCTGCGATGCACGAACCAAAGAAGTATTGACTAGAAAGAATGTGGGCCAGGTCCAGGTACAAGCCGGACTGAGTCGAAGTCAATATGGTTCGGCCCCAGCCACACAATATAGAATAAATGATTAGGTAGGGCAGGGCGGGTGTAAGCACAAGGTGTCATGGTCTCTTAGCACTCCGCTGCTCTTGCCACGCTCAGCAAGCCTTTTGTCTGCTTGTCCGTGTGCTGGCAAGCATTCCGACACTTGAGAGTAGCTCGGGGTCACGGCACGGAAACACTGAAATACATCCAATGCCCTTGCAGAAGCGACTGCTAAGCAAGATTCGTCTTGCCAAATGTACCGTGGCCTCGGCAGCGATGTGTAGAGCTCGTGGTCTCTCAATGCCGAGACGCAGGACGGCCACACAGTCGTCCAATGCATCCTGAAGAGTGACAGACTGGAAATCAGCGGCCTGAAAGGCCACTGCCAGTTGCAACCGGCCTTATGTTGCCACTTCTGGTGGAGCACCTGGCAAACGAAACTACATTGGGACGCACAGCACTTCGCATCCTCACGGCCCTTATAGGGACAGCCTGCTGCCCTCGCCTCAGCACGTTTTAGCAACAATCCACAGCGCAGCGGTGCCACGGCAGAGTCCTCCACAAAGGTTGAGCGGCAAGCGGCAAGAGTCAAGAGCGTCTGATCAAGTGCCCTCAAGTTCGAGGGTGCTATGGCAATCTGAGGCAGTTCCTCCGCTGGCAATACACCCAGCGCATCCGAGTACTGCCTGTCGGCGCTGAAGACGTCACCTGAATCGCTCAATACATGTGGCCAAACAGGTCGGCAGAATCATCCCTCTTTGCACTGCATCGGCGCAAACCGACGATACTGCAACAGTCAGAGTCACACAAGTCTGGCTCCGTTCGCATGCGTTCCGCAGAACAACACCCCATCAAAGGCAGCTGCCTCTTCCCATCTAGTGCTTCGATGCTTTGTTAATTTGCAAGGCCCACAAGCTGCGCACCTGACTCTCGGCTGGCATCGCCCTGCTTCAGGAAAGAGCCGGCCATGGTCACGGCGGCAAAACCTGCGATTTTTCTCTGTGCCTCACGCTGAAAATGAAACAGTGCACGCAGCAGGCAGGCTTGTGTTTGCCCCTGCAACTAGGATCAGCCGATGTGTCCGGGTATTGCACGTGCATGCATGGCACACACACACACGTGCATGTACATCTGCATGCGTGGATACACACACTTTGACTGGGCTTGCAAAGTCGGGTGACAAACCCAGAATGCCCCATCCACTCTCTTCTCGCCCTGGTCTCAACCCCCCCTTCTCTGTGTTTCCCTTTCTCGCGCTCTCTTCCCTTCGTCGGCCGGGTCGCGCCGTGCCGTGGTCAACTCCTCTCGCAGGCGCACGACAGGCAAGACCTGCCAAAGTATGCTGCAGATTGTTTGGGAAGGGCCGTACAATGCTTTGGATCATGTGATGGGGACTGTCTGGCTGTTGCGATTGGCTCTTGTTTTGCTCGGCCCCTTGCATTACAAACTCCAGGGTTGTTCCACGCCTGCCCTCCGCAATCCCCGCGAGGTCTGTTTGACAAATGCCACTGCCGCATTTCCCCGTCTGTTCGGGCTGGACGATGTACAGCACCTGAGTTCAAGATGTTATGTACTTGGCTTACTTCACCTCCGATAGTTACGTCAAAGCCTCTGAGGCGAGCATTCCCTTTTGTTTCTTCGGATTGACATGGCCTCCTCAGTCCTCCGCATGCTCGCCTCCAAGATCTCTTCCTACTCTCTTTCCATACACAGCCTCTGGCCTCCCTTTTGTATTTGTCAGCAGCAAGGTGTATAGACCAAGGTTTCAAGCAATCTGGTACAAATTGAATACAAGATCGAGCCGAAAACAATTGCACAAACTCCGAGGAAACAGGGTTGGCCGACGAGAACAACGGTTCTCGGAGGTTGCATGAGGCTATCTCTCTTCCAGAGCACCATGTACGTCTGCATCTCTTTTATCTGTCTGCCTACGACCTTGTCCATCCGTACATCTATCAGCCATCTTGCCTTGGCTCGCTTTCTGCCTTTTTCTGCCTTCTCGTACTCAGGAATCTCTGTCTGAAGACAGACGGTAGGTCAAAACGGCTGCAAGCACCTGGCGATGCTGCTCAATAACTAGGTCACTAGGTCTTTTCGTGACATTTATAAAACGCATTCCCTTCAAAATCGACGGTTTGCCTAAATCTGAGTATTTCCAAACATAACTGAAACATAAGCACCCACA